GCAAACATACCTCAGTCAGTTTAAGCTCCACATTTTCCTTGTGTCTTTTTCCCCTCTCGTGAAATTCTACACTCTGTTGAAAAAAAAAATTAAAAAAAAAAGATATCTCTCAGTCAGATTTCACCAGTAAAATATCCTAGAAACATAAGATAACCAAGCAAAGTAAAACTAAGTAAAGTAAAGGACCCTTTTCCACTCCTTTCAGGCGTATTGGGTATATAGGGTTAGACCTATATTTTATAGACCAACAGCACAAGATGGGTGATTTGGTTAACATCATGCCGGCCGCCTTTACTTCCTAGGACTGTACCTGGTACCCACTTAAGGCTTGGTCGACCTGGGAGCCAAGGTCATTTTTGAAAAAAGTAGGATAACCAAGACAAATTATGAATACTGAGTTATCACTTTAAAAAATGCTGAGTATGTGCACCAACACTATCAACTGTTAACAGAGAAGCAATCTGTCTAGTCAAACCTCAATGAACACAAAGCTGTATGGTACACACTGAGATTTGGGTCGCACAACAGCTTTCATAAAAGCTACTGGCCTCCTTGTATCAGTTTTCTGAGAGAAGGATCAATGACTTACAGGTTTGTTATCTGTTATCCAACATTTGCAGAAGTCACAGAATTTTTTGGGCACAGACTTCCAGTATTCTGACCTGTATGAATAGAAAGTAAAAATATGTCAACAGCCAACAGACATGCCGAAAAATATTTATAGCATGTACTTTCTATAAGGATGAAGAGTAACTGTGTCACAGTTTCTGTGTATTATAAATAACTGTTGCCGAATGTCCATTTATATGGATGCGATAAGAAATTTAATATCAAAACATTATTATTATGTAGCATATCCTTTGCAAAATGTCATTTCCGCCACAACTCAAAGTCAATATTACTGATCCTTCATTAGGCACAATACTTCATGTGTTGTCAAGCCAAGGTAAATTTTGTTCGTTCATTACAAATAAACAAGTTTGACCACTTCCTGGAAAGCTATGGTTATAACTGTGGTTCCCCGTGTGGGTTCCGGGGCCCCATCGTGGGGAAAACAAGAAAGACCCTCTGCCTACCGAAAAGCATGTCGTAAGAGTCGACTAATTGGGTAGCTTCCTTTGAGGTCGGAGTGCATCTGCCTGAGAGGCAAGGAACCAACAGTCTGCATTCAAGTGAATCAGATCTGTAAAACTGATGCACATGCAACACACAGGTTCTGGAGCAGGACTGCAGTTCAGAAGTGGACGAACAACCAGAACTTTCACCAGAGTGTACAGCTGGTGAACGCGAAGAAGAAGAAGAAGATAACTGTGGCGACTCTTATATTTTTTCTTTGTTTGCTGAGATTTCCCTGGTTTTTTCTATGTGGCAAAAGGCTGATGTGACGCAAGGCTTTCTTTGCCACCCATGTCTGTCAGGGTGTAAGTCAGTTTGCTGCTATGAAAGGTGTGCCAATACTTGGTACAGTCTTGACAAAAACTTTCTAGAGGTGCTGTGTTGTCGACATGCTGCTAGTCTGCCATGTCAACTGGTATTTTCGCTGCTTTATGACTTCCTCTGGTTTAGGTGAATTCTTTTGTGTTTTTGCTTGAGTGCTGCATCATGAAATCTGTGCTGGCCTGCCTTTGCTCTTATTCTTTTGGTTGGAATCTCCTTGGTGTCACGTTTGTATTAGTACCCTTGGTGTCACTTCTGTATTACTTCCCCTGGTGTCACTTTTGTATTACTTCCCTCTGTGTCAGTTTTGTATTACTTCCCTCTGTGTCTATAATTTATGTCTGTCTTATGGTTCTAATTTATGTAAGTGCTGATGAAGGCTCCATAGCTGTAACGTTCATGTTTTGTTTGTGTTTGTTATATTGTAAAGCTCACTAATATACTTTTCGTTCAGTTTTATATCTTTCACTGATGGACACAGACACTGCAGAATCAGAAATTCAACAACAGATACATGATAATTACTGTCCATGTGATGTGATTATCTATACAGATGGCTCTGTTTGAGTGGGAGAAGAAGTGTGCTGGAGTTCATTGCAAATGAATTACACTTAGTGGCACAAAGTATAGCATATGATACTACAACATAGTCTGGGAATAGAGGTGGAGGCAGTTACAGCAGTTTTCCACTGGCATGAGAACCAGTGTTACACTATGTCATGACTGTAACCAACTCATAAAGCATTTTTATTAAGGTGGATCACAGCAAAAACCGATGTACAAGCAAAACTCAATTCCTGGAACAAAGCCAGAAGTCCAAATGGACAAATATAACCATGACTTTCTGCCGGAGTTCACAGCTGGTGAACAAGAAAAAGAAGAAGAAAAGTTGAGACAGGCATGCTCTGTGCAGAGTGGCAAGCATCACTTCTGAGGTTCCAGGCAGTTAGCATTCTCTAGATATTTTGTTTTCATGGCATGCAGCAGTGTAAGGAAATAAACATGAAGACAGACTGGTTGGTTCTGTACCAGTGAGTGGTGAACGACAAGCTAGGTGTGGTTGGTACAGGCCCTTTGAGAGCAAATGAACAATGCACAGGCACGAACAGATAATAATGGTCCTGGGAGAATGGTGAAGCTAGGAGTGGCCAAGGGAAATGGTGACAGTGTTACACTACACGCAGAAGAAAAGCAAGACAGACATAAATTTTAATCAAACTGCTATTGGCACGATCCGAACTGGAACTGGCTACTGAAGATAGGGACGAAGCGCTTATTGGAATGTCCGGTTTGCGAGTTCTGTGATGTCAGTTCTCTTCTTAGCTCAACAGTGTGTATGCAGACTGAGACAACTCTAACTCAACAACAGTTAAGTAATAAGTGAGTCAACACAGTGAATGTCAATCGCCAGGTACTAATTATTAGACTTACTAACTAGTACCTAACTAATACACGCGAACGTTGGCAAACATTGAAACAATTAAATGTGCTATACACAGGTAACATATTATACTAATTACACCTGTAATAAAAGTGAATATAACTGCATTCTTACATGGCTGTATATTATTAAATGGCGACAGTTTCAAACAAATTTCACAAGTCAGTAGTCTGCTCTCTTGGGCAGGGCTGCCAATTAGATTTTTTTGAAAAACCCAGCTTCGCTAAACAAAAACCCAAGCAATACATAGACCAAGAATAAAAAACCTAGATTGTCAAAATGTACAAAATTTATAGTTACGAAACGAAACATTTACCACTTTAATATAAGTATATATTTAAAAAAAAAAAAAAAAGATTTTCCCAAGAATTCAAATTAAAAACCCAGATCTGGGGGAAAACCAAACATTGGCAGCCCTGCTCTTGAGTTTAATAAATGGTGCACATGCGCAATAGGCAAAACATCCAAAATAAAAAGTATGCAGTAAAAACGAACAGCGTTGCGGTGACAAGCATTCATCAGCATGCAGTGACATTGTGATTCATATGGTGGGGTGGGGGCGGGGGGATTTCACCCAAAAGAGAATTAAAAGGCTAAAGGGTGCAAACGGAAGCCGACATAGTGTAGCGGCTAGATTCTCGCCTGCGGATTCGAAGGCCATGGGTTTAGGCTCCAGACGCAACCAAACTTTAAAAAAACATTGCTCCCGGGTTGACCCAACTTTACATAGGTACTAGGTAAAGACTTTTGAAGTAAAGGCAGTCCGCATAGTGTCAATCATATCAACCATGGAGTGACGGTTCTATAAAATGCACATCTAACCCCATATGCCCAATACGCCGGAGGGCATGGAAGAGGGCCTTTACTTTACTTTTTACTTTAGAGAGCCAAAACATTATCTTTAGACTGTCATTTCTGGCGACTGGAGCCCCTAGTGTGCCTAGTTTACCACGGAGTTCTTAACACATGCCAAAACCGGGGGGATATCATAAACAAATTAAAGTACCAGCTAGAGAACACAAAACATCCTTACTTGTGCCCCCTCCACACCCCTCTCCAATACACACACACACACACACACACACACACACACACATACGCGCACTTTAAGGAGGTAATTGTAGGAAGTTAAGAAGAAGAAGAAGAAGAAGAGCTGGGGGAAGATGACGCGGGGGGGGGGGGGGGGTAGTTTTTAATAATACTGTGGCTCCTTTTGTTTTGTTTCTCTACCTTAAGAGGATCTGCTAACACTCAGCTTTTGGGAAAAAGTAAGACGAATGTACGTACGTATAACTGAACTACTACGGACCCTGTTGTCGCAATGGGGAGGTTGGGAATTCAATCGCTAGAGGAAACGGTGGGAAACAAGCGAAGTGAAGGTGAAATCTGGATCCGTCTGAGAGATACTGAGTTCCGTGCTTGGTAAGATGCTGCGAGCTGTGGATTTCCTGTGTTGTGCTTTTTTTTTTTCTGTGTATCCGAAGATCTGTATTACGAATTGCATGTTAAGAAAAACGGAAATCGTTGGTTTTCACAAAACTGGCTGTATGCCTTAGGCAGCAATCTGCACACAGCTGATGGTTTATCGTTGCAGCTATCTACACCTATCATCTATGAACTGCAATGTCAGTGACATGCTGTTGATTTTAGCATTTTTGACGTCTGCCTTATACATTTAATATGTGCGTGAGCTGTTGAACTTTAGTCTGACCTTTCATGTTGGATCATGATAGGCATTTTGTTTGATTTTTTGGCTTATGAACAAAGCAATTAAATGACGGCCGTTTGTGGGAACGTTGGAACTGATGACGGGGACGAAGAGTTTGTGGGAATAGCCTGAGGTCTTGATAATGGTCCTTTATTAACTCAGCTCAACTCCGCTAAACTGATCTACATCTGGATTTCCGTCTTGTAGTAATTAAATACAACGATGTGGTTTGAGAAAGCTGGTGAATCTCCTCCATAATGACAAGAACTACGCATCCATTTCCGGGGCTGTGGAAGTGTCACCGCGCAGGCGCACTGGCTGAGGCTGTCTGTTGTCCTGAAGCAGAAGTGAAGGCAACGGCCACATTGTTATTGTTTTGATTCCAAGATGATTATTTAATATGCAGTGCAAATAATGGTCAGTCCCACCTATACCTTTTAGAAATACCTAAATGCTTTGTAAAGTAAGGGTGTATACTTCTCTAAGTGCGATTAAAAGCACAGCCAGACGAGAAATAACTACTACCACTCAAAACGAACTTCTCGATGTCTAAGAGTACTACTTGAGTTGTATCCAATTTCGTCCTTTTTAGGACAAAATTTTTTGTCATTTGAAGCCCTACTCTGGCTTTTGCCAGGGGCCGCAATATAGGCAGGCCATACATGTGGCCAAATGTCTGAACGCGGTTTCTTGGACCTCTCCACGGCGATCCTCATCCACATGGTGGCACTTTGTGTCATCGGGTGTTTATCGCTTGTGTGATGTCCTGGTGGGGTAGAAATTCAGTTCAGTTCACTACTTGAGTTACCTAACCACAAAAACTAGAAGCATTTTTTGTTTACTATTAAAATTTGTATATGTATAGTATCATTAATTATACTTATCACATGATTAATTACAAGAACCATCTGATCCAGCTCAGTTTCAAGAACCAATTCATAGCACTCGGAACATTCCACTAGGTGCTCCGTCCCCATCTTTAGCTTAGCAGCCAGCGATGAGTCGAGTTCCAAACGTGGTGGTACCCGTTACAGTCTGATTGTATGTCAGTCATGCCTTCCTCTGAGTGTGGAGTGCAGGTGCTGGCCATATCCTATAGTCAATCCCCATTGTTGCTTGCACTGTTTTCTTCAGACTCTGATAAATAATAAATGGGCTATCCTCCGAATAACGGTCCCAAATTATCAAGGCTGAAAATATACCCTAACAAGGCCTCAATCACGTGTCAATTGCAGACTTCCAGGGACTATACCGCCACTGCCGAATCGCTTAGTGGCATGGATTGGGGCTAACTTAGATGGCTGTGACTCACGAGCAAATAAAATGAAGGAAGCTGCAGGAGATACAGTAGCTGCTGCTCGTGAGTCTTAGCCATCTAGTTTAGCCCCAACCACGCCATGCGTAGCAGCATGGAAGATACTCTTGGCGGTGGCGGAAGTCACCAGAAGTACGCAATTTAAGTCGCCGGAAGTCCACATTTGACACGTGACAGGCCCTCTTAGGGTATATTTTCGACCTCGATAATTTGGGACCGTTGTTCGGAGAGTAGCCAATAAATGTAACATTGATTGTGCCACTGCACAGTTCACTGGCTCTCAGAGCCAAAGGGCCTTGATAACATATAGCTTGTCATGCATGCATTAGGTTTAACTGCCAAGGGGTGCAGAACCAGCCAGTTTATCTGATCTGTTTTTTCCCAGCACACCTGCCTATCCCCTGGAGAAAATATCCAGAGGATGCTAACTACCCTGGCTCCATCAGTTCAGTATCGTCAAGACACAACTTAGTGCAGTGACCAATTGATTTGCTATTTTATTGGTGATTAATTACATTTGAGATGCTAAGCTAACTAGTAGTTCATTTTCTTAATAAACAAAATTTATTTCTTCATAAATTTTTTTTGATTATGGGAGAGGAGAGCAAAAAAAGAGATGCATAAATGTTGTAGCTGAAACTTGCAAAATAATTAACAAATATATCACCTACAATTCACCTGAGTCCGGGTTCAATCCCGGGGGTAGGCAGGAAAACCTCATTTTCTCCCAGATTTACGGTATTTACAATGGAATCAAGGCCGAAAGGTTGCGATATCCATAATACCGAGCCTAAGGGTTAACAACTCATGGCTTCTGGATACTAAAAAAAAAGAAACGCAAGTCAAATTTGGAAAACCACGAAACTGGGCTACAACCTGGTGTTGGTGAGACCAAAAGAACCGATCACTAGCTTGATGTGCTGCCAGTACTGAAGGATCCTTTACTGTCTGCTTGCTTAAACATATTTTCTATATCTGTATGTCAGCTTGTTGACAGTAATGAACTTAATATTTTTTTTTTCAGGAGCCCGGTGATGCAGGTGAGAGTTGTTACCTGTGTCAGATGTATGAAAGCCTGTGTCAAACATCGGTCATGTCATGGGAATAATTTGCTTTTGTGTTACCTGTCAATTTTTTAGTCTGTGGAAACAAAATGATTAGAGATGTGATGTAGACCAGGGGTTCTCAACCTTCCTACTGCCGTGACCCTTTAATACACTTCCTCATGTTGTGGCGACTCCCAACCATACACATATTTTCGTTGCTACTTCAAAACCTCAGTGAATATGTGTTTTCCGATGGTCTTAGGCGACCCCTGTGAAAGAGTCAATCGACCCACAAAAGGGTCACCACCCACAGGTTGAGAACCGCTGATGTAGACCAATGATTCTCAATTTTTTGTTTCTAGTCAAAGTAAAGGACTGTTTTTTTTTTTTTACATCTTTAGCCATATCGGGCATATACGGCTGGACCTATATTTTATAGACCAGTGGGTAATATCGTCGACCTTGCTGGCCACCTTACCTTCTCTCGACTTTACCTGGTACTCAGTTACGGTTGGATCCACCTGGGAGCCAAAGTCATTTTTGAAAAATAACTCTGGCTCCTTCAGAATTTGAACCCATGACTTTTGGATCCTCAGGCAAGCTTCTGGCTGCTAAACCATGTTGATTGCCCATGATTTTAATATATGAAAACATAAAATGATGTAGACCAGTAGTGGGGGGGGGGGGGGTCTGCCGAGGGCCGATCAATGCCCTCCCCTCCCTCAATCATTCTGATGTGAGGCATTGTATGTTTGAGGTGTGTCCGTTTAGCCAAATTCTTCATCCTCTTAGCGCCTACTGGCTGCCAGCTCCATCTGAAAGCTGTGGCCATTTGTCCACATGTGGAACTCAGTCCTGTTCAAGAACCTGAGCTATATGTGTGCAGCCTGTTGGTTCTTCGGCTGTCAGGCAGATGAACGCCAACTTTGAAGAAAACACCTTCAATAAGTCACCTTTTACGACATGCTACATGGGGAGGCAGTGGGTCTGTTGTTTCTTTTCACCCCTAGAATAGGGCCTTGGAAAACACACAGGGACAGCCAAATTCTGTATTTCTTTCATTGTCTGCATCTTTTCTTCCCCTTTACCAAGCCCTGCACTGTCTCCCCAAGTCTCCCAGGCCCCATTGTGGGGAAAACATGAATAAACCAACTGCCTCCCCAAGTCTCCCAGGCCCCATTGTGGGGAAAACGAATAAACCAACTGTCTCCCCAAGTCTCCCAGGCCCCATTGTGGGGAAAACGAATAAACCAACTGTCTCCCCAAGTCTCCCAGGCCCCATTGTGGGGAAAACATGAATAAACCAACCGTCTCCCCAAGTCTCCCAGGCCCCATTGTGGGGAAAACATGAATAAACCAACTGTCTCCCCAAGTCTCCCAGGCCCCATTGTGGGGAAAACATGAATAAACCAACTGTCTCCCAAAGTCTCCCAGGCCCCATTGTGGGGAAAACATGAAAAAACCAACTGTCTCCCCAAGTCTCCCAGGCCCCATTGTGGGGAAAACATGAATAAACCAACTGTCTCCCCAAGTCTCCCAGGCCCCATTGTGGGGAAAACATGAAAAAACCAACTGTCTCCCCAAGTCTCCCAGGCCCCATTGTGGGGAAAACATGAATAAACCAACTGTCTCCCTAAAAAGCACGTCGTAGGAGTAGACTAATTGGAGGCATCCTTCGAAGTCGGAGTGTATTTGCTCGAGAGGCAAGGAACCAACAGATCTGGATCTGTAGAATGGTTGTGTGCACAACACTCAGGTTCTGAAACAAGTCTGAAGTCCAGATGTGGTTCAGCAACCAGAATTTTCCCCTGGCGTTTACAGCTAGTGAACGCAAAGAAGAAAGAAGATTTATTAGTCATTAATGAGGAGATCTGATTATAGATGAGTAAGAAGACATATATAAAGGATGTTGACAGCTAGTCTAGTAGTTTTACATGTAGATGTGGGGTGGTGAAGAAAGTCAAGTACCAGGTTGTCCTTGTGCTTGCAGATTGGAGTAACTTGAGCCTGGATGATAGGGTCGACTCCGTGCTTAGTGCCTTTGAAAAGCAAGATGAGTCCTCATTGGGGTCAGTGGACAACAGATCCGACCAGGTGTATGACAGCAATAACCAGGTGAGCAAATGTTCAAACATTATCTGCTGGTAGGGAGTAAATTGCGGCCAGAATACTCATTTAGCTAGAGATTCTGCATAAACTGCCAGCTCTGTTTGCTCATCTTGTTTTTCACAAGTCAGATGTCTGGTTTTAAGACTTGCTAGTCAGATGTCTGTTTTAGGACTTGTTAAGTCAGATATCTGTTTCAGGACTTGCTAAGTCAGATGTCTGGTTTTAAGACTTGCTAGTCAGATACTTGTTTTAAGACTTGCTAAGTCAGATGTCTGTTTTAGGACTTGTTAAGTCAAATGTCTGTTTCAGGACTTGCTAAGTCATATGTCTGTTTTAGGACTTGCTAAGTCATATGTCTGTTTTAATACTTGCTAAGTCAGATGTCTGTTTTAGGATTGCTATGTATATGTCTGTTTTACGACTTACTAGGTCAGATACCAGTTTTAGGACTTGATAATGTAATGTCTGTTTTAGGACTTGCTCCATAAAATGAGTCATTTTTGAGCAAATATCAAAGGGACAGATTTCTGGAGGATAAAGGTGATAATTACTTGTTGGCCGAAAGGCGTAAATATCACCACTTTGGTTTAAACAGGCACGTCACATTTGTCACTCGTTTGAATGATGAAGAAGAAAAGATAATAATTACTAGGTTTTTCATTGAATAATTATCAAGTGTTAAAGAACAATTTAAGAAAATGTGAACGGCAATTTGAGTGATTGTCCACAACAAGAGTTACAGAAAACTATATAATTATCTTCAGGGAAGAAATGTTTACATCGGATGTAAATAGTTTATATACATTAGAATTCTTTATATCAGTAGAAAATAGACACAGACAATTAAATGTGTGTGTGTTCCATCTCCACTTTAGAAGTCGACTGCAAGAAAATGTGAATGCCTGCTATCTTTAGCAATATAACATGATGTGTTTACCCCAGTCTCTTCCACAGTGTGTCTTGTATCACACAAAAACCTACATGCTTATTTATGATTGTTCTTCCACTTCAAGTCTGTTGATTGTAACAGAGGACCTGTATGAAAAGTCAAATGGCTGTTTTGGTACATATAGTACTAGATTTTTATTTGTATAGACCAGTCAGCACTGGGTGGATGTTGTAGTCACTACGACACTGCCTTTACATCCCAGGAAATTACCTAGTATACATTTTTGGCTGGGTTGGTCGACCTGAGAACCAAGGTCAGCTTTGACAAAAATCGATGTCACTGCAAATGTAGATCTTCGACCACAAGAAAATGAGGGGTTCTGCATATGTTATCTTCTTTGCGTTCACCAGCTGTAAACTCTGGCGGAAAGTTCTGGTTGTTCATACACTTTTAAACTGCAGTCCTGTTCCAGAACCTGAGTGTTGCGTTTGCATCCATTTTACAGATCTGACTCATTTGTATGCAGACTGCTGGTTCCTTGCCTCTTAGGCAGATGCACTCCAACTTTGAAGGAAGCTCCCAATTAGTCGACTCTTACGGCATACTTTTTCCTCCCCCATAATAGGGCCCCAAAACCCACACGGGGATGCATATGTTTTCACACACAGTGTCTTTGTTGATTCTAGGCAGATGATGATTTCGCCAGCACTCTGGGAATGTACGATGGTTATGACAGCTACAACGATAGTGACATCAGCACAGACAATGAGGATATAGATGAGAATGCCTTAGACGGGGAGCTGTTTGACAATGATGAGGGCATTAGCAAGTATCGCTTCCTCAACAACAAGGATGGAATGGGTATGTTTATTTGGTTGTGATGTGTACCTTTGTCGTAGCCTTCCTAATACTTGTCAGCCAGGTGTGTGGCTTTGTTTCTTACTTCCTAGCACTGTCATACAAGTGATTGTTTTTCTTTTTTCTAAACTGTCTATCACTGTCATCATGATGATTGTTTGGCTTTGTCCTAAACTTCCTTTCACTGTCATCAAGGTGATTCTTTAGCTTTGTCCTAAACTTCCTTTCACTGTCATCAGGGTGATTGTTTGGCTTTGTCCTAAACTTCCTTTCACTGTCATCGGGGTGATTGTTTGGCTTTGTCCTAAACTTCCTAGCACTGTCATCAGGGTGATTGTTTGGCTTTGTCCTAAACTTCCTAGCACTGTCATACAAGTGATTGTTTTTCTTTTTTCTAAACTGTCTATCACTGTCATCATGATGATTGTTTGGCTTTGTCCTAAACTTCCTAGCACTGTCATCAGGGTAATTGTTTGGCTTTGTCCTAAACTTCTTTTCACTGTCATCAAGGTGATTCTTTGGCTTTGTCCTAAACTTCCTTTCACTGTCATCTGGGTAATTGTTTGGCTTTGTCCTAAACTTCCTTTCACTGTCATCAAGGTTATTTTTTGGCTTTGTCCTAAACTTCCTAGCACTGTCATCAGGGTGATTGTTTGGCTTTGTCCTAAACTTCCTAGCACTGTCATACAAGTGATTGTTTTTCTTTTTTCTAAACTGTCTATCACTGTCATCATGATGATTGTTTGGCTTTGTCCTAAACTTCCTTTCACTGTCATCAAGGTGATTCTTTGGCTTTGTCCTAAACTTCCTTTCACTGTCATCAAGGTTATTTTTTGGCTTTGTCCTAAACTTCCTTTCACTGTCATCAAGGTTATTTTTTGGCTTTGTCCTAAAATTCCTTTCACTGTCATCAAGGTTATTTTTTGGCTTTGTCCTAAACTTCCTTTCACTGTCATCAAGGTGATTCTTTGGCTTTGTCCTAAACTTCCTTTCACTGTTATCAAGGTGATTCTTTGGCTTTGTCCCAAACTTCCTAGCACTGTCATCAGGGTGATTGTTTGGCTTTGTCCTAAACTTCTTTTCACTGTCATCAAGGTGATTCTTTGGCTTTGTCCTAAACTTCCTTTCACTGTCATCTGGGTGATTGTTTGGCTTTGTCCTAAACTTCCTTTCACTGTCATCAAGGTTATTTTTTGGCTTTGTCCTAAACTTCCTTTCACTGTCATCTGGGTGATCATTTGGCTTTGTCCTAAACTTCCTTTCACTGTCATCGGGGTTATTTTTTGGCTTTGTCCTAAACTTCCTTTCACTGTCATCTGGGTGATCGTTTGGCTTTGTCCTAAACTTCCTTTCACTTACATTTTTAAACACTGTCCTACAGGTGGCAGAGGATGTCACACCTGAGGGAAATGTTTTATTGTGACTGATTATGAGATGTCGCTTTGTTTACTGTTTACTTCCTAGCAGATTGTAGTGGAAAACACAGTAGTTGGTTGTTTAATTGTTAGCGAACCACCTAAAAGACTAAATTGTAACTGGTGGCATCTGTGTCATCTGAGACTTGACAAGGCTTGCATCTATAAGGAAAGGTTGATTTAGAGGCTTTTCAAACTTCATAGGGATTGTGTTACTGTACTGTCTTTATTAATTCTTGCACTGTACTTCTCTTTAAGAATCATGCCACCGTACATGTCTTTATGAATCCTGCCACCGTGTATGTCTTTATTAATCCTGGCACAGTACAAGTCGTTATTGATCCTAGTGCAGTACGTGTCTTATTAATTCTAGCACAGTACAAGTCGTTATTAATCCTAGTGCAGTACTTGTCTTATTAATTCTAGCACAGTACAAGTCGTTATTAATCCTAGTGCAGTACTTGTCTTATTAATTCTAGCACAGTACAAGTCGTTATTAATCCTAGTGCAGTACGTGTCTTATTAATTCTAGCACAGTACAAGTCGTTATTAATCCTAGTGCAGTACTTGTCTTATTAATTCTAGCACAGTACAAGTCGTTATTAATCCTAGTGCAGTACGTGTCTTATTAATTCTAGCACAGTACAAGTCGTTATTGATCCTAGTGCAGTACTTGTCTTATTAATTCTAGCACAGTACAAGTCGTTATTGATCCTAGTGCAGTACTTGTCTTATTAATTCTAGCACAGTACAAGTCGTTATTAATTCTAGCACAGTAAAGTTAGTTGTTTATCCTTTACAGGACATTGCAGAACCAACCCCAGCATTTTGTGGTTTTTGCTAGCTCTTGGTACCACTGCCGAAACCAACGAATGACAAATCCTCTGCAGCTAGGATCGAACCCAGCATTAGGAAAAATGTTTGCAACGCCTAAGCCACAGACGCCAACCTAGCACAGTACAAGTCTTTAATAATCCTGGCGCAGTGCATGTCATCTTTGTTAATTCTGGCACAATACTTGACTTTATTAGTTCTAGTACAGTACTTAAACTTTGTTAATCTCAAACATTATAAATATGTGTGTGTGCGTTTAATAGAATTGTGTGTCCTTTTCACTACCAGCAATTTGTGAATGCTGTGGCTCGGTGGGCATCAAGCACGCATTTTACTCCAAGTCCAAGCGATTCTGCAGTCTTTCATGTTCTAGAAGCTATGCCACCCATCAGCGTGAAGGGAAACCGGTGACAACAAAACCCATCTCTACTGGGAAAAGGGTATGTCTGTTTGATATTGTGTGTGTGTATGTTAACTGTCCTGCATTGCGTGTAGCCAGTGTTATATCGTACCCATCATCATCATGTAGCAGATTTACCCCATGAGGGTCTACCTGGAGAAAAAAAACTTGGTCTCTCACCAGCTGTCCTACCTTGTGCGCTTTCATACTCATGTTGTCACTTATTTTGTATGACCATCTTCATGCTGATCAGCTTCTGCCCTTCTTTCTTGGTGTTGCTGCTGTTATTTTTTCCAATCCGCTGTGGCACTTTATATGGTCATAATATTTCAGTTTCTAAGACAAGTTGCACTTTACTAGCCAAGCTTCCTTAATGATCAGATCTTTTAGGATATCAGTGTTTCTGTCCTTCTATGTTCATGGTGAATCTATCTTCTTCTTCACGTTCACCAGCTGTTAACTCCAGCGGAAAGTTCTGGTTTTTCCTCCACTTCTAGACTGGAGTCCTGTTCCTGTGAACATTACCGCTTTAGAGCCTTCATCAGCACATACATAATTTAAAAACACTTGAATAAATAAAATCACCTAACTGACAAATACAGATGCAATCACGCTAATGTCTCGCCAATGGAATCACACAGTGGAGATTCGAACCAAGACAGCTTTTTGCAGGGCAGCTCTATGGACCATGTTATCTGTTGTTTATTTTCACTTCAGCAGATGGTCTTGTGCCACCATTTCAAAGAAAAACTTAACTGTTTTTTTCTGCTGAAAGTCTCTGGCTTGTGTCATTGCTGTTCATGTGTTTGATGTTACATTCTGGGGGTCAGTTCGTCTTTGTAATTACCATTATTTCTGTTGGTTTATTTCTCAACTTTCTTACTAAGACCTTTTCTCTTTCTGCTACAGTTATAGCCATCGTATCTTGTAACTGCTTTTCATTTTCGGCAGTGAGAACTGCACCGTAGGTTGTTAACATTATATAGACTTTTGAATGAAATAAGATGCTTGCAGGCAGCAAAAGAAACAGTCTATATGGCCCAGCGGCTAGATGCTCACCTGCCAGCCTGAAGATATTAGGTTTAAATCCATACTGAATCAGATTTTTGTTTCGAAAATGTTGTGTTGTGAAGACAAACGTAAAATTGGCACAACTAGCATTCCTTGGGCTTCTAGATAGGAAGCTATGAACGAAAAGTGAGTTCATTGGGACTGAAAGAGTTAAACAGTTAAAAAAAGAAATCATAATAGCGGCAGTATGCATATTTAAAAAAATCAGATGACAAAGATTGGAGAGTGTATATCACCACTCTCTGCTCTAGACCAGTCACGTCCTTGCGGAAAGTTCTGGTTTTTCCTCCACTTCTAGACTGGAGTCCTGTTCCAGAACCTGAGTTGCGTGTGTATCCGTTTTACAGATCTGACTCATTTGTATGCAGACTGCTGGTTCCTTGCCTCTCAGGCAGATGCACTCTGACTTTGAAGGAAGCTCCCAATTAGTTCACTCTTACAATATGCTTTTGGGTAGGTAGTGGGTTTATTCTTGTTTTCCCTATAATAGGGCCCCACAACCCACAGAATCTGTCTGTAACATTTCAGCTCAAAATCTCCTGGGTTTTTTTTTCTGTATGGACAGGTACATATTGTACATATATCGATGTATAACTGGATCTTTGCCTGTTCCCAAAAGCTAGGGAATCCTGAACTGTACCTCATTTCAGATTATTTGAACCCAGCACTGCCAAGGCAGCAGGTGAGCTCTTAGTATAACTTCAGCTGCTCATTCATGTTATCCACTATGTGTTGTTTTGGGGTTCAGTTAATTAAGCCTAAAGTTTTAAAGTCACCTTTTTCTCTTCCTTTGAAGGGCAAATTGGGTTCTAAGAAGTTCAGCCAGAAAATACAGCCAAATGTGTTGAAAGCATCTTTACGTGGTGGTACGTATGATTTCACTTTCAATAAAAACAGAAACATTGTTAGTAAAGACGATCACATCACAGTACATCAGCACAGTATTGCCACTATTATCTAAATGTATGAATTATGTCGGCTATTTAATTTTTTTTTTCTTTCACATTTAATCTGGCAGTCGGCTATTTGGTCTAGGGCTTTCATTTTAATTGTTAACATAATCCCAAGTTTTTCACATTTATTCAAAAAGGCTAATCCACTACCCCAGAATCACGAAGGAGTGTTTCCCATGTGGATTCCAAGAGCCACATTTTGGGGGGAAAAGAATAAACTCTCTGTCCCGTAACAAGCATGCCATAAAAGGCAACTAATTGGGGTTTTGCTAAACCAAAGCTTATCCTGGAAGCAGGTTGAATGGGGTCGGTGTTTTACCTTTGTTTGTGTTTGTGTAAAATCCAAGTTCAGGGTTTGCTGAAACTGAATCTGTTTAGTCGAAAGGTGCAGAGTATTTGCAGCCTAGCTGTAAACCGCAACATGATCGGCAGTTGCCTCTGAAGGAAGAACACAGAAGAGGAAAAGGTGTACTATCCTTTTCCAGTGTTGTGCAGACGCATAATGTCTCCCACTGTGATTGATGCCAGACCTGCTTGAGTTGTAGAATATCTTGCATCTAAGTAACTTTTGCCCAGATATTTATAATACACTGAGTATGTGTGGTGTGCGTGCGTGCGTGTGTGTAGCGGTCACTTAATGGGTTTATCAGCTGATTTTGTCTTTGTTTTCTCCAGAAACTGGTCGGGTGTTTGACTGGGGGCCTTACCTGTTGAGCAGTCAAGCCAATGCAGTCTCTGTGTCTTGTTTCAAACATGTGAGTCCTGGTGTGTCATCCTGTGTGAGTCCTGGTGTGTCATCCTGTGTGTGAGTCCTGGTGTGACATCTTGTGTGAGTCCTGGTGTGACATCCTGTGTGTGAGTCCTGGTGTGACATCTTGTGTGAGTCCTGGTGTGTCATCCTGTGTGAGTCCTGATGTGACATCCTGTGTGTGAGTCCTGGTGTGACATCTTGTGTGAGTCCTGGTGTGTCATCATGTGTGAGTCCTGGTGTGTCATCCTGTGTGAGTCCTGGTATGACATCCTGTGTGAGTCCTGGTATGACATCCTGTGTGATTCCTGGTGTGTCATCCTGTGTGATTCCTGGTATGACATCCTGTGTTAGTCCTGGTGTGACATCCTGTGTTAGTCCTGGTATGACATCCTGTGTGAGTCCTGGTGTGTCATCCTGTGTGAGTCCTGGTATGACATCATGTGTTAGTCCTGGTGTGTCATCCTGTGTGATTCCTGGTGTGTCATCCTGTGTGAGTCCTGGTGTGACATCCTGTGTGAGTCCTGGTGTGACATCCTGTGTGAGTCCTGGTGTGTCATCCAGTGTGAGTCCTGGTATGACATCATGTGTTAGTCCTGGTGTGTCATCCTGTGTGATTCCTGGTGTGTCATCCTGTGTGATTCCTGGTATGACATCCTGTGTTAGTCCTGGTGTGACATCCTGTGTTAGTCCTGGTATGACATCCTGTGTGAGTCCTGGTGTGTCATCCTGTGTGATTCCTGGTATGACATCCTGTGTGATTCCTGGTGTGACATCCTGTGTGAGTCCTGGTATGACATCCTGTGTGAGTCCTGGTATGTCATCCTGTGTGAGTCCTGGTGTGACATCCTGTGTGATTCCTGGTGTGACATCCTGTGTGAGTCCTGGTGTGTCATCCTGTGTGATTCCTGGTGTGTCATCCTGTGTGAGTCCTGGTGTGTCATCCTGTGTGATTCCTGGTATGACATCCTGTGTGAGTCCTGGTGTGACATCCTGTGTGATTCCTGGTATGACATCCTGTGTGAGTCCTGGTATGTCATCCTGAAGAGGGCTGAATATTTGATCCATTGGTCACAGATCTTGGCAGTCAGGCGTCATTGGGTATTTCAGAAAATATTTGACCTTGTGATCATCAAGTGCCTTGCCGACTGGTGTGGGTGATCATGCCTCTCCACAATCTGCAGTCTGTAACTGCATCTATCAGTTCGTGTGTTAGCACCCCTCCATGCCTTGCCAAAAGGTTGTCAAGAATCTTCCTCAGTCTCTCTTTTTTACAGACCTTTCCAGTGGTCACATATTCCAGTTTCATTCTTCTAATAACATGACCAAAAAATGATTACTGACCCTGATGTTTGTGATAAGTTAGCCCTGGCCTCTGCCAAAACACCTGGGTTGCTATTTTATTAACTGATGATACTTGGTGATATTAGGTTTGAACCCAAGATGTTTTAAATCAGCATTCCATTGACATGGCCTCACCTCAGACAATAATAACTTTTGTAAGAAGTCTAATTATTATGAAAGTTCTATGACTGTTCGATTTCATAGTGTAAAGTCAAAGCAGGATGTATAGTCACAGAGTCAAATATTAGCTGTAATGACGTTTTTGGAATTGTGTTCTGAACAGGTTTTTCTTCTAGTATGTTTCATGTCAGAAGCTGAAGAGAAGCTCAGGAACATTCTTGGAGTATGACCCTGTGTACTGTTTACTTCTTCTTATTATTCTCTCTGCTAGTGGTTTTCAGATGAAAAGGCCTCAGTGAAGGGTGTAGTGCTACACATGTCCTCCATTGATCTGCATAGCTTGGTCTCCTTTCTAGCGCTAACTGGTCAGACCTGCAATTTCTCTGATGCATGTAGGGAGCATGTGTTCATTATATTGTAGTGTCTGTCCACATGGGTAAATTTCTGAGTTGTGTCCAGTTCACAGTCTAAATACAATAATCTGTTCCATTCATGTAAGGAAGTTGATATGATCTTTCGGGATTTTGTTCTGAATGGGAAGTGTTCATTCATCCAATGGGTTCTGATAGCTGCTTTGATCGGTGTTTTCCTTATAAGCGCATTCTGGATCTGGCTATTTACTGTTTTAATTGTGATGTATAGTGCAGAATCACCATTGTAAGCATGTAAAGGTAAAGTAGGGAGATGTGAACCAGTGTCATTGCACACGGCTATAAACCATAAGTGCTCTGCCACCAGTACAGACAGCTGATAAGAATTGTCCGCCTGTGTCGCCGTCCGCAAATAACTCTGTAGCTACAGCAACTTTCCTCCATTTACCCCAGAGTATCAACTCTGGTACCCATTTCCTAGAGGCTGGGTGAACCCTGGCAACCGCCCGGTTTAGAACACCGGCCGTGGGCTGCAGCGAGTCGCAGCTGGATTTGAAAGCGAGCCTCTAATCGACTATGCTAACACGACCCCCATTTATAAGCATGAACTTTCTGTTATGTTGATGATCTGCTGACCTCTGTCTGCAGGTGCCTATGCATGATTGCTGGGATCAGATGGTCGAGGGGGTTCTGGTGGAGGTTCCCAACACAGACCTAGACGTCGGCAAGGACGTCAAAGTTTACTGGATTACTACAGTTCTGAAAATTTGTGGTATGATTTTTATGTTTCTTGTCCATTCTTGGTTAGCGATACTTGTCAGTGTGTCACCTAGCAAGATTTTTCCACTGGACTCCCTTCCTGTGTGGGTTCTGGTGCCCCGTGAGGAGAGTGGAAGGGGTTTAGACTTCCTGCTTCCCTAACAGCATGTAGTAAATAAACACTGATTAATTAAGCATAGTAAACATTGATTAATTAGGGATAGTAAACATTGATTAATTAAGGATAGTAAACATTGATTAATTAAGGATAGTAAACATTGATTAATTAAGGGTAGTAAACATTGATTAATTAAGGGTAGTAAACATTGATTAATTAAGGATAGTAAACATTGATTAATTAAGGGTAGTAAACATTGATTAATTAAGGGTGGTAAGCATTGATTTATTAAGGGTGGTAAGCATTGATTAATTGAGGATAGTAAACAGTGATTAATTGAGGATAGTAAATATTGATTAATTGAGGATAGTAAACAGTGATTAATTAAGGGTAGTAAACATTCATTAATTGAGGATAGTAAACAGTGATTAATTGAGGATAGTAAACATTGATTAATTGAGGGTGGTAAACATTGATTTATTAAGGACAGTAAACATTGATTCATTAAGGACAGTAAACATTGATTAATTGAGGGTAGTAAACATTGATTTATTAAGGGTGGTAAGCATTGATTAATTGAGGGTAGTAAACATTGATTAATTGAGGGTAGTAAACATTGATTAATTGAGGACAGTAAACATTGATTCATTAAGGACAGTAAACATTGATTTATTAAGGACAGTAAACATTGATTTATTAAGGGTGGTAAGCAGTGATTAATTGAGGATAGTAAGCAGTGATTAATTGAGGATAGTAAACAGTGATTAATTGAGGATAGTAAACAGTGATTAATTGAGGATAGTAAACAGTGATTAATTGAGGATAGTAAACATTGATTAATTGAGGGTGGTAAACATTGATTTATTAAGGACAGTAAACATTGATTCATTAAGGACAGTAAACATTGATTAATTGAGGGTAGTAAACATTGATTTATTAAGGGTGGTAAGCATTGATTAATTGAGGGTAGTAAACATTGATTAATTGAGGGTAGTAAACATTGATTAATTGAGGATAGTAAACATTGATTTATTAAGGGTAGTAAACATTGATTAATTGAGGATAGTAAACATTGATTAATTGAGGGTAGTAAACATTGATTTATTAAGGACAGTAAACATTGATTCATTAAGGACAGTAAACATTGATTAATTAAGGACAGTAAACATTGATTAATTGAGGACAGTAAACATTGATTCATTAAGGACAGTAAACATTGATTTATTAAGGACAGTAAACATTGATTTATTAAGGGTGGTAAGCAGTGATTAATTGAGGATAGTAAGCAGTGATTAATTGAGGATAGTAAACAGTGATTAATTGAGGATAGTAAACAGTGATTAATTGAGGATAGTAAACAGTGATTAATTGAGGATAGTAAACATTGATTAATTGAGGATAGTAAACATTGATTAATTGAGGATAGTAAACAGTGATTAATTGAGGATAGTAAACAGTGATTAATTGAGGATAGTAAACAGTGATTAATTGAGGATAGTAAGCATTGATTCGTTAAGGACAGTAAACATTGATTCATTAAGGACAGTAAACATTGATTCATTAAGGATAGTAAACATTGATTCATTAAGGATAGTAAGCATTGATTTATTAAGGGTGGTAAGCATTGATTTATTAAGGGTGGTAAGCATTGATTTATTAAGGGTGGTAAGCATTGATTAATTGAGGATAGTAAACATTGATTAATTAAGGATAGTAATCATTGATTAATTAAGGATGTTTCGTCCAAAGCCTGAGCTTATCAGCTTGAGAGACAGGGAACCAGCAGTCTGCATACAAATGAGCCAGATCTATAAAATTGATGTGCACGCAAAAGTCAAGTTCTTGCATGAGACCAAAGTCCACAAGTGGACAAACAACCAGAACTTTCCAATGGAGTTTACAGCTGGTGGATGCGAAGAAGTAAAAGTTCTCTGGACAGTTTTCAAATACTGTTAAATAAGGCGTGAGGGGGTCTGGCTTGACAAGTGGGCTCATGAGTATAGTTTATTTGCTAAAACAAGCGTATTAGTTTATTTAAAATGGTGTTACTAAATTATAGAAATAGTGAGGCACATACACAATCGCTGATGTATTTTTTCAGGTTACAAAATCCTCCTGAGGTATGAGGGGTTTGGCAGCGACAGTTCCAAGGATTTTTGGAGTAATCTGCTGACAGAAGATGTTCACAATGTTGGCTGGTGTGCAACCTATGGACGCATTTTAGCACCACCGAAATGTAAGTTACCTGTCAGCGACATCAATTAACACTAGTTTCTTCTCTAGAGACTGGCACAGTTTTCTGAGTTGATTGAATCCTTGCATACAGGGAATCTAAGGTGTTTTATTATTGCTTTTTTCCTAGCTTCATCATTAAACTTAAGGCCCAGGTGACACTTGCATGATAGTAGAGTCCCTAAAGACATCCTCTAATTTACAAATAGGTGGGGGGGATGTCAAGGTCAGCCTGTACTACAGACGAACCTTTGCACACCTCCATGGGCTGCCAGTTGCATAGCCCTGCTCTGCAGCATCAGATTTTGGCTGCATTATATAAATACCTCTTAGCTTAGAAGTGTCTTGTGTACTGCCTTTGCCTCCCCTTTATGGGGCAGAACTTAGTTTCTTATATAGTCACATGGTAAGTTTTACATTTGGTCATTCACTTTCTGGGAGGAATCTCTTTAAAGCTTTATCATTCCCTCCTTGTGTAGGTTTTCACTGCCCCCTTAACAAACATGTTGTAGGAGACGACTAATTAGGAGCGTTTCCTTCAAAGTTGGAGAGTAAATGCCTGAGAGACGAGGAGCCAACAGTCTGCATGCGTAGAAGCCATATCTTTAAAATGGGTGTGCATGCAAAACTTCAGTTCTTGTTCAAGACCACAAGTCCAGGAGGGGGCAAACAACCAGAACTCTTCACCAAAGTTTGCAGTCGGTGAATGTTAAGAAGACGAAGAAGATATAATTCCCAGTGCTGAACTTGTCAGTAAAACTTTCAGTCTTTCTGTTCATTACTGAGGGTATCCCCCATGTGGGGGTCCAGGGCCCCATTGTGGGGGAGTTCAAGAATAGACCCACTGCCTCCCCAGAACGCATGTCGTAGGAGTTGACTAATTGGGGGCATCCTTCGAAGTCGTAGTACATCTGCCTGAGAGGCAAGGAACCAGGAGTCTGCGTACAAATGAGCCAGATTTGTGAAACGGATGTGCACACAACACTCAGGTTCTAGAAGAAGACTAAAGCCCAGAGGTGGACGAACACCCAGAACTTTCCACTGTTGCTTACAGCTGGTGAACGTAAAGAAATAAGAAGAAATTACTGAGGATTTAACCTAGATTCATTGCATTAGATCGTCTCATGCAATAACAACTATGACTCCAAATGTTTGATAATAATAAAACAGATTTTGGAAAAGAGAAGATAATATATGGTTTAATGTCATCGTTGCTCACTTTTTTTCTGCAGCAATCAAGGACAAATACTCTGACTGGAAAGAATTTTTGATTAAACGGTTGACCGGCACTCGTACAATTCCTCCAAACTTTCATGCAAAAGTATGTATGAATGTGTCACTCTGTATAGCCAAATCACTGTTAGCTATAATTCTTCCAATCCCTAGTTTTCTGTGCAAAGGGAATCACTTTTCGATGTGCGTTTTGTGTTTCTTATGGATATGGGGATCTAAATGTAATTATAAATTCATCTTTCTCCTTCTTTCCTGTGTGGCTTCTGTTGTCCTGTGGAGGGTGGAAGGGTAGACCTCCTCCTTAAATAGCATTATCGCAAAAGTTGAATGTGACTAATTAAGCGACTTTCACCTTGCTGAAATTAGTTAATCTTGGGCCAAAAGGCAGTTATTACAATCTGGCTTTAAACCACAACACAATGTGCCAACTACCCTTTTAAGAGCTAAGACAAAAAATTGTCTTCTGCTGTTGTGTCCCGGCAGGTCTGTTCACTGTGTGATTTTTTAAATGTCTTATCTATTTACAGTATTCTGTATCTAGTGTCATGTCTGGGTGTTTGCATGGTCACAGGTGTCTGTTCACTGTGTCATATGTTGGTGTCTTATCTGTTTACTGTGTCTTATCTGTTTACTGTGTCATATATTGGTGTCTTATCTGTTCACTGTGTCATATATTGGCTTCTTATCTGTTAACTGTGTCATATATTGGTGTCTTATCTGTTTACTGTGTCATATATTGGTGTCTTATCTGTTCACTGTGTCATGTGTTGGTGTCTTGTCTGTTTACTGTATCATGTGTTGGTGTCTTTTTTATTCACTGTGTCATGTGTTGGTGTCTTTTCTATTCACTGTGTCATGTATTGGTGTCTTTTCTGTTTACTCTGTAATTTATTGGTGTCTTTTCTGTTAACTGTTTCATGTACTGATGTCTTGTTTGTTCTCTTTGTAATGTTTCTTGTGTTGTTAAATGACAGAGTGGTTGGGTGGTAGTCACCATGTGATATGTCTGGTGTTGTTAAATGACAGAGTGGTTGGGTGGTAGTCACCATGTGATATGTCTGGTGTTGTTAGTTGAGTGGTTGGGTGGTAGTCACCATTATCTATTCACCATGTAATATTTCTAGTGACTTTAGATGACTGCGTGGTTGGATGGTCACTATTATCTATTCACCATGTAATATTTCTAGTGACTTTAGATGACTGCGTGGTTGGATGGTCACTATTATCTATTCACCATGTAATATTTCTAGTGACTTTAGATGACTGCGTGGTTGGATGGTCACCATTATCTATTCACCATGTAATATTTCTAGTGACTTTAGATGACTGCGTGGTTGGATGGTCACCATTATCTATTCACCATGTAATATTTCTAGTGACTTTTTAGATGACTGCGTGGTTGGATGGTCACTATTATCTATTCACCATGTCTTTAGATGACCGCATGGTTGGATGGTCACAATTATCTATTCACCGTGACTTTAGATGACTGAGTGGTTGGATGGTCACTATTATCTATTCACCATGTCTTTAGATGACTGAGTGGTTGGATGGTCACTATTATCTATTCACCATGTCTTTAGATGACTTAGTGGTTGGATGGTCACTATTATCTATTCACCATGTCTTTAGATGACCGCATGGTTGGATGGTCACTATTATCTATTCACCATGTCTTTAGATGACCGCATGGTTGGATGGTCACAATTATCTATTCACCATGTCTTTAGATGACCGAGTGGTTGGATGGTCACAATTATCTATTCACCATGTCTTTAGATGACTTAGTGGTTGGATGGTCACTATTATCTATTCACCATGTCTTTAGATGACCGAGTGGTTGGATGGTCACTATTATCTATTCACCATGTCTTTAGATGACCGCATGGTTGGATGGTCACTATTATCTATTCACCATGTCTTTAGATGACTTAGTGGTTGGATGGTCACTATTATCTATTCACCATGTCTTTAGATGACTTAGTGGTTGGATGGTCACAATTATCTATTCACCATGTCTTTAGATGACCGAGTGGTTGGATGGTCACAAACTGAAGCTGGGGATGCAGCTGGAGGTGGTCAACAAAATGTGTGTGTCTGCCATGAGAGTAGCTGTCATCAAAGAGGTCATTGGTGGCAGACTTCGGCTCAACTATCTAGACAGCAAGGTTGGTTTTATTTTAGATTTGTTTATTTTTGAACCGTCATGCAGGACTAGGTTATCTACTGTTAGAAGAAGACCAGATCTACCGCTAGTTAGTACAGAACTGGATCTCCTGCTGTTGGTACAGAACTGGATCTCCTGCTGTTGGTACAGGACTGAATCTCCTGCTGTTGGTACAGGACTGGATCTCCTGCTGTTGGTACAGAACTGGATCTCCTGCTGTTGGTACAGGACTGGATCTGCAGCAGTTGGTACAGAACTGGATCTGCAGCAGTTGGTACAGAACTGGATCTCCTGCTGTTGGTACAGAACTGGATCTCCTGCTGTTGGTACAGAACTGGATCTCCTGCTGTTGGTACAGAACTGGATCTCCTGCTGTTGGTACAGAACTGGATCTCCTGCTGTTGGTACAGAACTGGATCTCCTGCTGTTGGTACAGGACTGGATCTCCTGCTGTTGTTACAGGACTGGATCTTGTGTTGGATCTAGATGAGCTAGCTACTCTTCCATTTTGGGGTTGAAGGTCAAGATATTGAAATGATCTGAAGAGGGCACACATCTTCTCCCCCCCCCCCCCCTTTTACACATACACACACACCACCCCCAAAGACACCTGAGACACAATATGCAAATGAGCCCAAACATGCGAATAATTAGTGGTGTTTTTTTTCCGGGGAAGAAACTCAGAGGCCGATGGATGTGGCTTGTGTCAGCTTTGATTGATGTATTATAGCGGATTATATTGCAGCTGGTAGGTAGTCTAAAGTTTAAAGCCAGCTAATAATAATGTACAGAAGCCACCTTGGTGTAGCAGCTAGGGTGTGGGTTCGGGTCCTAACCAAACCAGACTTTTTTGTGTGTCCAAAAATGACCTTGGCTCCCATGTTGACCCAGCTTTAAATAGGTACCAGGTAAAGTGTGGGGGAGGGGGGGGGGATTAAGGCAGCCTGCATGAGGTTGACCACATTACCCGAATATTATAAAATATAGGTCCTGCCCTATATACCCAATACACCTGAAGGCATGGAAAAAGCTTTTTTTTTTTTTTTTTAATAAATAATGTAGAAATGGTTGGAAAATAAAGTTAATGTAGATATGACACTCTGTCGTATGTACTTCAGATTGGCTTGTGTGGACTGTGAACAGATTATGATATGATAGACAGTTTGTTCTCGTTGTCTTCTGACCGTGAACTTGCGGTGGTAACGTTCTTCGAGTGTTTCAGCAATTAACTGCAAATCATCTCTCAAAAGTTAGTCATCGCTTTCATCACAGCCCACAGACACTGGGCCCCTAGCCAGCTCTCCTCTTCTCATGCACTTTTCTACCCAAGCTGTCTCTTGTTTATAATATCCTGTGCCAGTCTTCATGCTGGTTGGCTCCTGCCTCTCTTTCCTAGTACCCGTGCCTTCCACTACTCTTCTCTCATATCCAGTTTTGTGCTCGGAATTCTCACAATATTTTGCTTTCTGAGACAAGGTGAGTCTTTCTGAGTGTTAGTTTTTGTTGGTCAATGGTCAGTGTTTCTTTTCTTCTTCATATTGGTCAGCTTTACAGAATAGATTTACAATAAATAATGTCGTAACAACAAGCCCTCTTCAGCAGTCAAAGAAAACACAGTAAAGATGAAGCTGACACTGAAATAATTACATTATGGTGGGTAATTTAATGTAAAGCTGTAAAGTAAAAATAAGTAATCTGAGAGAACTGAAACATGTGACGCTTAATTAAATTGTCCAAAATCTGGAAATGTATGTGCTAAAGCAGTGATAGCTGGAAGTTTTAGGTTGTAGCTCGATCAATATTGTCATTATATTCCAAGATGAGGTTGTGGCTAGGTACAAATATTGTCGTTATATTCCAGGATGAAGTTGATGAGTTCTGGTGTCACATGACCTCACCGTTAATCCACCCAGTAGGTTGGTCACAGACTGTCAACCATAAGCTGCATGCTTCGCCAGGTATGTTGGACATTACAGTTTTGGTTTCTTTATCTTCTGTTATAACTTGATTTAGACATTTACTCATGTGTAGAATTTCAACTTCAAACCAGCTTGTAGAGAAACAGTGCTGTAGTATTTTTAATTGACATAAACACAGTTTTTAATCTTAGTTCAGCATTGAAGCTATCTTTATTGGGGAAGAACTGTTGCACAGTGTAAAAAATATTAAAACTGAGCCAAAAGTAGATCATCGGGCTTCACAATATTTAACAAACACATACAAAAAATGTGAACATTGCGGCTATAGAGCTTTCATCAGCACATAGATAAATAATTTTAAAACCACTCAAATAAACAAAATCACCTAGCTGACATTTCCAGATGCAGCCAGGTTAATGTCTTGCCAGTGGAATCACACAGTGGAGATTTGAACCAAGATGGCTGTTTGTGGGGCAGCTATACAGACCATGTTATCAGTTTATTTTCACTTCAGCAGATGCTCTTGTGCCACCATTTCAAAGAAATACAGGTTGTTTACATTATATAGACTAGTGAATGAAATAAGATGTCTATATGGCCCAGCGACTAGATGCTCACCTGCCAGCCTGAAGATCTTAGGTTTGAATCCATACTGAATCAGATTTTTTTTTTGAAAATGTGCGGTGAAGAGAAACTTAAAATCGGCGCATCTTGCATTCATTGGGCTTCTAGATAGGAAGCTATGAATGAATAATGCGTTCCTTGGGATTTAAAGTTAAACAGTTGAAAAAGAAATCATAATAGTGGCAGTGTGCATTAACAAAATCAGATGACAAAGATTAGAGAGTGTATTTCGTCACTCTCTGCTCTAGACCGGGCACAGTACTGCAGGTTACCCCAGGCTGGTCTCTGACTTGTAGTGCTCTAATTAAAACTTCCTTAGAGGTTGAATGTGGTACCTTTGGGCTTGTCCTGTCTGTCTGCCAGCAGTTCTGAGACTTTTCTAGTCTTACGTGTCGAACCTTCAGGTCCTGTCTGTCTGCCAGCAGCTCTGATACTTTTCTAGTCTTACGTGTCGAACCTTCAGGTCCTGTCTCTGCCATCCAGATTCTGATCTCGGGTGTCAGACTTTTGTGGTAGCAGCCAGGATGAGATAAAGGGTACCCACACCGTCCTGAGTACTGGGGGGAGAATAAAACATTTTTGTTGTTGAAATATTTATCTTGCAATTGTTTTGTCCCCCTGTATTCATTATACTTGTTGGGTATTATATTAGTATTTGGTGTGACGATGGTTTGCTTGTCTCTGTCAGAGTACATCAGTTCATGTCTGAGCAAGATTGCCATGCACAAATATGGACCATTGGATGCAACACCGGACATGTTTCCCAAGGTACAGTGTTTTTCAGCTTCTCTCTGTGAATGTTGGCTTGTCTCTCTGTGAATGTTGGCTTGTCTCTGTGAATGTTGGCTTGTCTCTGTGAATGTTGGCTTCTCTCTGTGAATGTTGGCTTCTCTCTGTAAATGTTGGCTTCTCTCTGTGAATATTGGCTTCTCTCTGTGAATGTTGGCTTCTCTCTGTGAATGTCATCTTCTCTCTCTGAATGTCGGCTTCTCTCTGTGAATGTCATCTTCTCTCTCTGAATGTCGGCTTCTCTCTCTGAATGTCATCTTCTCTCTCTGAATGTCATCTTCTCTCTCTGAATGTCGGCTTCTCTCTCTGAATGTCATCTTCTCTCTCTGAATGTCATCTTCTCTCTCTGAATGTCAACTTCTCTCAGTATGATTATTTTGAATGCTATTCAGATTATCTTGTGGCTGGGACTTTATATGTCTTTTTAGAATCCACCAATTTGTGGCAACTCTTTGTAGTGGGTAAACCCTCAGAAATACAACTTAACAGTGTAAAAGTGAAAGCCTTATGAAAACATGTGTAACACTGACAACACATTGAAACCTTCTGCTACATGCAAAGGAAGAGAGCCACATACACACAAAAATGAATAATGCAGATCCTTTAAGATTGAAGTTTTGGTTGTTGTGGATATTTTCAGCCATTATAAGCCATGTTGATGAGTGAGAGGGAGAGTTTGAACAATCAGTCAAAATACCTGCTTGTCCAAACTTATGACTTCGAGACTGTGCTTGGTTGCAGACTTTAAAAAAATCACATTGAAAAATGAGACAATGGTACCATTTGTAGCATACTTGCCTGAAAAGACAAGATTCTGTCCTTCCATCCCTTCCTCCTCTACCACTGACATTATCATCAGTCACAGGTAAAAATTAAAGAAAGTTGCTGTCGTCACGACACACCTGAAAGTCAATCTCTCTCTAGTCAATTCCCCAGCCCTATGTACTTTCAAAGCCAGTCATCTTTAGTGTCCTGTATCTAAGGTTAGCCTCTGTCTTATTTGCCAGAAACTACACCCTCCAGGCCACTATGAAGTTTAATATGGGCTGGGGTGCTGTTTGTGCACCATTTCTCCTCGATGTTTAGATCATGCAGGATGTAGGTGGTTTTTCTTGTCCTCTGACTGCATATTTCATATACTGCTGCAGTCTGTCCTTCCGTTCTCCCTACCTGTCTGTGACAGCGTGTTAGATATGTTGTTTTGATTCAGTCATTCCATTTCTCATCCCTGCCTACGTCTGACGGCATGTTGCAAGTGTTTATGTTTATTCAACAGATCAACGTCATGGCACACGGGTGTAACCCATAAATGCTCCGTTCTACTTCAGACTCAAGTCTGAGTCTGAAGAATCTCAGTGCAGTGCATGAACTCCTTTGCACCGGCGAGGATCCTGAAATACTTTGGGTATATTTTTATCTCCATATTGTGCCCAGGCAGTACTGTTAGGTAGCTCTTTTCGATTTCGAACTGCCAAGGGATTTTTTTACGTGCGCAAGAATACACATGGGCGTCCTATCTTACTACCCACAGACCGGGGGAAATTACTAGAAGTTCACATGAAAAAAAATCTCAGCCTTCACCAGGGGTTTGAACCTGGGACTTCCAGCACTCAAGGTGGACACCAGACCTCGAGACACTCAGGTCCCAATGTTTCAAGTGTTGCTGTGTAATGTTCCCCCATCATTACCATCACCTCTGAAGGCCATCTTCAGCACATGTAAGCAATTGAAATCTGTTTTTGCTTTCACAGTGCAAAGATCCACCCCATGGTCTTTCATTTCAAGTTGGTATGAAGCTTGAGGCTATTGACCCTTTGAACTTATCTGCCATCTGTGTTGCTACGGTGATGAAGGTAAGTTGCTTTATTGTTTGTTGTAGTGTTACATTCCCCATGTGAGTTGGTTAGTCTATAGGTACCTTTTAGCCAAACTGTTGAACATCAGCTTTTGGGGTGTCAGTTTCTTAATTTCTTGCAAAGCATTTTCTTCACTAAAACTGTATGTACAAAGCACTGCTTGTGGCATAAAACAACAGCTGGTGAATATATATGCATGTTTCTGCACACTTTTTAATGACTGCTGGGGGGGGGGGGGGGGTGTACATGGACATTTTGTTAATTTTTTTTTAAACGTGGGGGGGAGGGGCACGAGCAGCTATAGTTTAAAGATGCGTGTAAAGGTGAGCAGGGAATGACATTATTGGGCAGAAAATTTGAAACTGGAAGAAATAGCTTTTGTCCATAACATATGATGCACCGTAAGGAAGCTGCTTGGATGTGATAAAAGAAGATGCTTGGATGTGATATAAGAAGAGTATTTCAATACTGGAGCTGTGAATCTTCTTAAAAGAATGCCAGAATGTTTGACTGGATGCTTCTAGCTCAGAGGTTTAGGTACAGATCAACATCATGACACAAGGCTAGTAACCCATAAGTGCTTCATTCTACTTCTGACTCAAGCCTGAGTCCGAAGAATTTCAACGCAGGGCACAAACTCCTTAGCACCGGCGAGGATCCTGAAATACTTTGGGTAGATTTTTAATCCAAAATACTGTCCACCTTATATCATTGAACCAAAATTTATAATATGTGAACATGTCACTTCAAACTGCATTGTTAAGTATCATTCTCTAAATGCTGATTACTTGTTGTTGGGAATGTGATACGTCCAACAGAAAATCGTGCAAGATCTGAGCAGAGAGGAGAATCGGTTCATAAACAGCATCCTGTCTCGAAAGCTGGGGTATCTTGGCCGTGTTAAAGATCATGGTGGCCTGGGAGAGAGAGCGGTGATGGATGGTACAGTTTCTGGATAATGAGGCAGAGGCAGACCTTCACAACAGTGGATTCAAGACATTGAAGATGCATTGGCTAGGAAAGCACATAGGGCTGGGGAATTGGCTAAAGAAAGAGAGATTTTCAAGCGTGCCGAGATAAGAGTGACATACTGTACAGGACCTGGTGATTGTTGATGATGATTCAAGTCCAAGTTTTTATAATTTTTTGTTTGTTTTTTAAATCCCTGAGTTGATGTGTCTCCTGAAGGTTTTGCGAAACAACTACTTGATGATTGGCATCGACGGATCTATGGCTGAGAATGGCAGTGACTGGTTCTGCTACCATGCCACGTCTCCATGTATATTCCCTGTGGGTTTCTGCGAGATCAACAGTCTTGAGCTGACACCGCCCAGGGGTGAGTTAACCGTGTGATCTGTCGCTGTTCTTCTTCCTCAGTCTGCTTCTTTTACAGGAACTAGGTATCAGCTGTTTTAGCTAAGAGTTGACTTTTGCAAACATTGTGTAAGATTTTATGCCTTTAAACAAATTCCATCTCAACATGGGCCCTAACCAATACCAGTGTCTCTTTCTCGTCTCTTGATTCACAGAAATGTAATACACAGGAAATGAAGAAGGGTTAAGCAAAGAACAATACTTATAAAACAGAGACCTGTGGCTTTATCAGTGTGCACATATATGTGGAATCCCATGCTGTAATTGTGGAATACTTTTCCTATCGCTCGCGGGTCTTGCTAGTCACACTCACCATGGGCTGTGAGTCCTATGCCTCTACATAGTATAGTGTAACTGTCTTCTGGAAAGATGGAAAGGTGTCAATCGAGAGAGTGATACTAGACAGACAGCTTTAGAAAGAAGTGAAAAACTGAGCAAGCTTCTCAAGCCGCCCAAGGGATGAAGTAGAAGAAGATGATCATCTCAATATTCTCCTTTGTGTGTTCTCCCAGGACACTAGCAACAGCTGGAGAATGTTCAGCTGTTTGTTGTTTGTTGTTATGTGTTTCTTGATGCTGAAATTGTGTCCTGAGAAAAACCAAAGTACATCCAAGATTAAGATGAGGAAAAGTCATCGAAACCAAATGAAAAATATTACCAGTCAGCTTTACAGTATCACATACGACACGTGAACATTGCGGTTAGGGCCTCTTTGTCGGCATTACATAAATCTACAATACCACAAATGCACACAGGAATACACAGAATCACTTAACTGATGAAGTTGTATCTCCGATAAAAATCACATCCAGATCTGGCCAGATAGTATCTGTATAAAATAACAGAAACCCCTGTGTGGGTTCTGGGGCCCCATTTTGAGGAAAACAAGAATAGACCCACTACCTGTCTAACAAGCATGTTGTAAGAGTTGACTAATTGGGAGTTTCCTTTGAAGTCAGAGTGCATCTGCCCAAGCGGCAAGGAACAAGCAACTGCACACAAATAAGCCAGTAAAATGGATGTCTATGCAAAGCTCAGGCCCTCGCACAAAGCCAGTCTCAAAATGGACGAACAGTCAACTTTCTCCTGGAGCTTACAGCCTGTGAACAAAGAAGAAGGAGAAGATATCTAAGATAAAGATGAGACCAGCAAACTGAAGCTTTGTCTCCTATGACATAAGTATTGTGAGATGTTGCAGGATTATCAGGCATTGAATGAAAAAAACAGTATAGGCTTGTTACCTTGACCCCTTGTCTGTTGTGATTTAATATTTTCCTGTTTTCTTTCCCACAGGCACAAAAACTCCTTTCAAGTGGTTTGACTATCTGAAACAGACTCGCTCCATGGCTGCCCCAGTCAAACTGTTTGATAAGGTAGCTGGACTCTTGTCTCTTTATTACTTGGGCGAGGAATTACATCAGTGATTGTTCTTTCACCTCTTGGGCCATCTGTTTCTCTCTTAATCATTGTTTCACCTTTTGCGTTGTCTTGTTACTGTCTGTTCTGTCTTAATCAGTTTTTCTACAGAGGGAATATTTCTGTCTCTTCTGTCACAATCATTTTTAATCTCTTGAGTCGTCTGTTTCTGTCTACTCTTATCTTATTCTTCCAGCTGCTGAGATATCTGCTTCTGTCTATTGTGCACATATCTATTTATGTCTACCCCATTTTATATGCCTCTACATGCACATATATCTGTTTATGTTTATTCCTTCTTATGTCTCTACCTGCGCATATATCTGTTTGTGT